AAAAAAATATATATATATATATATATATATATATATATTTTTGAATTCTTAGCAACCAAGGCGGGAAGAGAAAAGGAAAAAAACAGCAGTCTGGGTTCTCGTCCTGTCAAGCCATTTTTTAAACTACAAAATAACATGACAATAACAAAATAAACTAAACTACAATTTTTATGTGATCTGTAACAGTGCTCAACATTGTTTACATGCTTACAATGTAAGATTGATTGCAGCAGTGTTTTTTTTCTTTTTTTTATCTCCTAACTTTTTTTCCATCAATTAATTTCTTTGATTGCAAAATTAATAACCAATTACTTTGTATTTGTTGGCTACGAACAAAATTGAAAGAAGAAGAATTGATTTAGAAAAGCACCGGAAATAGATGTTATGTTTAAAATTAGTGCAAAAGGTTCAATTTAGTTCTTTAATTTTCTAAATTACAATTTTTCCATCCCTTATATTTTTTTTAAATTTAATTTTGATATAAAACTTTATCTTGATTATTTTCTAGTTCCTGGTTTGTAAAGAGAGGGAAAGTTTCACTAGATTTCAGAATAAAAAGAGAGACATTGTCTTCATTTATTCCGGCCATTAGATTAATTGATGTATTTATAGGTTTTATTTGATGAAAATAGCTTAATAATGATTGTTTAAAACTTTGATATTGCTTAAAAAAATAAATCAAAATTGAAAAAGAAAAATCTAATTCAATTTGATTTCATGTTTTATGACTCTTTTTTGGGTTTCTTAGGTAGATAAATTGGTTTTATAGGTGTTTGCGAGTTGTTTTTTGATTGAAATGGCTTATAATATCAGTTTTCATGGGAAAAATGAGTTTGCCTCGTTTTTTCTAGCCCATCACTATAATAACCATAATTCATGCAGATATATAACACATCTCCTGATTATTTTTTTAAAAATAAATTAGAGATGAATAATAAGTCATCCACACTTTAAAAAAAGAAGAAGTAAGATTCAGTTTTCGCGCACTTGAATGTTTTTTTTAGAGGATTAAACATGTTGAGCCACTAGCCTCATGCATTTGGGCTTTTTTCAGGGTGATTTTTGAAAACTTTTTATTTTTTTTGTTTCTTATAAAATAATTTTTTTAAAAAATATTAGATATGATATAGTTTTTAGTGTGAATCACAATTTTAATAGATTAAAACACAATATTCAAGATCTTTTTTTTTATTTAATGCATTTCCCCGCTCATTTTTTTTAAAAAACAATCTAACCTTTTGTTACCAATAATATTTTTTGTTTAGCTTAAAAAAATATGTAATTTCATCATATTTTGTCCTTTAGCTTAAAAAAATAATGCATGATTAAGATTATGTCGATGACATGAGCTGTAAATTTTGTAGGTTAATTGAAGTTTACTGAAATTTATGCTCTGTAGCTTGCCCTTCACAAAGGTTGCATGCTTGAGCAAGTAGGTCTTATATCTCTTCTGGATGGATTAGTTTATCTATTAGGATAATTATGGGTTTTATGATTTACGTCTGTAATTTAGTGTTAATTACTTAGACTTGTCAAATTTCTCTGACTGCAACTCTGCTGCTGCTTTCAACCACTCCATTGTGTTACATATTTGAGATTTATTTACTAAACTATGCATCATTTGAGGTTTCAAATGCATTTTCCCCATGGTCTAATCAAATGGACTTCGGAAAATATTTTAGGTTATTGATACGCTGCTGCCTAGCAACCATCCCTGTCTTGGGATAGTCTTACATTCTTGAAAGAAAAGCTTGTCATATTGTCTAAATTCTCCATAGCTTGCATGTGGGAAACAAGAACATTGATCCAATTATTTTGACAGCCTGTTCCATCAACTACTGGTTTTTCTGTTTTCGCAATACTTATGTAAGGCATAACTTCGAGTACTCATTGGATGAATGTGTGTTATATTTTCATATCTACCCACACGTTACTTGACTTTTACAGCCAAATGCCTGGGTATAATGGTGATTTATGGACCTAGGCTAGGTTAATCATTTTTTACTGTCAAGCAAACCCTACAATAGCTTGTTAATTCTGAAACTTCCATGCAGGAACCAACAATTCAATGATTTCCTTCACCATCTTTTCAATATCTGGCGAGAGAAAAAGCTCGGTAATTTCTGTGAATCCCTCGTATCTGAAGGGCTCGCTTTGATTTCAAAGTCAGAAGCCACAGACAGGTTTTCTTTCTAATTCTTGTATTGCTTATTTGTTATTGTTAAGAATTCGTTATCTTAGCCATTAATCTTGTGTTTCTCTATAATTTGTTTTTATAAGCAGAGAGTTTACAGATGATAAAGCTAAAAGCTTTCTGGTTACGAAGGAGCCAAAACTTGAGCGAGAACATTGCTGTAAAGTTTGATTTCTCGTAGTCATTTTCTATTTTGCAAATTTATGGTATATGACTAGAATCATGTGCATTTATATAGCTATCTAAAATTGGATAATACATGGAGATCGATGTATAAATTCACTCCAGCAAGGAACAGAATCATTGTCATGTCTGATGGCAAAGTACCATTGTTTTTTTATTTTTTATTTTTTTCAGGGAGGGAAGACGCCATCTCTTTTTCCTGCCAGCTCAATGTAAGAACAAAATTTTGGCGAGTCGTCGTCTGGCCTAGAGAGCAAAACGTTGGAAATGGATTAAGGTGTCCTTATGTAAGAATAGATCATGCTAGCTCCGGCAATTATTGATTTTAAAACTAAAAAATTATTATAGAATAACAAGATACTATTTTTTTTTAAGTTTTTTTTTAGATTAACGTGGGTGTCCGAGCCAGCTTGCGCGCACCACGACTAATTCCACGGGTCCTCAAGTTAACGACCATGTAAGCTTCCAGTGACCATTATATGAGCAACCAAGGATTCGAACCTGAGACCACAGAAGGAACAAACCTCTTAGTCCCAAGTTTTTACCACTTGGCCACCACCTAGATGGTTTTTTTTTAATGAATTCACTACTTGAAAGAGTCCCGTTATTGGACTTGCAAAGATTATTTAGTATAATTAATTGGAAAAATTAAAAGATATGTAAATTAAGATATTTGATTTTGTAATATTAATTTATGTTCGGTAACTCTATTTATTAAATTTTTTTTTAAAATTTAATAATAATAGAAATAAACACATGTTTACATTATTAATTTTTTCTCTCTTAGTTCTTTCGAGAAACGGAAGATTTCAACAACCAGGTAATTAACCTTTTATTTATCTAATGCTCACGATTTTCTCATAAAAAAACCTAGTCTTGTGTAATTTCTCACACAGCTCTTGTTCATGGCGGATCCGCTTTGCTTTAAAGCTTAAGAGCTATTGTTATCTGTATTTAAACAGATTGGCTTCTGTTAATCATTTATGAACTATGGAACTGTTCAGGGCTTGATTCTGAGTGGGAAGCAGTTAATCTTGCAAAAGGAGAGCAGTTGAGTACAGGTGTGGTTGCAAGATTTCATATACTCGCTTATTATAATTATAAAAACAAGACTTCTATATGATGCTTTATAATTAGTTGATCATCTCATCTCATAAAATAAATAAAGTTCTGAAAATAAATTAGTCCGTTATTATTTTTGAAACCAACCTGATGAGTAATAATGGGTTGATACTAATACAATAAAATATGTATGCACTTCCAAATAGATATGATATATATATATATATCGCTAGCACACAATATTTTGATCCATTGATTTTGCTGAATTATTAATATTTTTTAGTAGTTGAAATGGTTTGTCAATATATAAAGGTCTTGTTAGGATTAGGATTGTATTCCATAATATAAATAAATTGACGAGCAATGACTTTCATTATCTAAGATTTTGGTCATTAACCACAAAAAAAAAAAACTAAAAGAGGAGGTAAATACACGATTCACCTACACGCAAAAATCTGTTTACTAAAATACTGATTTTTTTAGTTTATTTTTTAATATTAGGTTAAATTTTATAATTTATTATATTTTATTTCTATGATATTACTTTCTCATTATAAACATGATTGCAAACTTGAAAGATTATTTTTTGAATCTCTTTTTAATTATTTATTTTTAAAAAAATTATTTTTTAATATTTAATTAATTAAGAATCAAATTTTATATTTTTTATAAGGTTATTTAAATCTCATATAGGTTGGTAGTTTAATATGTTAATAACTTTTGATTTACTTTTTAATAACTCTTGTTAATTTTTAATTTTATTTTTAATATTAAATTAATTATAAATTAACTATAATAATTTATTTCAACTTAAAAGATTAATCAAGATTGACCTGTATTAATTTAATAAATTTTATAATATTTCCTAGTGTCCAACAGCAACCACGGAGCGGAATTTTATTTTTCTGTGCATGCTCAGAAATATCAGTGCCCATCCACGATGAGGGAAATTCATGAATGATAAATTCTTGAGCACACATGTACTCTCTTTCTTTCCCCTTGTGTTCTTCTTACAATAACAAGAAGGTTTTTTCAAACCAAAATTTAATTTTAATTTTTATTATTATCCCCTTAAATCATCACAAAACTCTTGGATTGGATTTTTTTTATTCATTTTCACGAATTAAATCTTTTTTTAGTTTTATTTGGTGTGATTCACACTATTTGTATAAATATTGATGAGATTAAATTTTATATTTGAATGATTTTAAAAATATAATCTATATATTAGCCAAATTCCATGAAGTAGAAATATGCCTTTCTAACCCTTATACCAGCCCCTTGTAATTGATTAACACTTAAATTACAACATCAACCCCTTAGGATTGGTTCCGGCCATAGTTTTTAAACCCGGTCTGGTGGCTGACCCGGTCCAAGGTCCGGGTTCCGGGTTTTGACCGGGTCGGCCGGGTCAATTTTTATTTTAAAAAAAATTCAAAACGACGTCGTTTTAATAAAAAAATAAATAAAAGTCAACGGGTTACCACCGGGTTTTTGACCGGGTTTTGTCGGATCGTCCGGGTTTCCGGGTCAACCCGCCGGGTCGGCCGGGTCATAGCTTACCTTATTTTTTCATCAACCCGGCCCGGTTCCAGCCCCGGGTCGGCCGGGTCAACCCGCCGGGCCAGACCGGGTTTTAAAACTATGGTTGCAGCTATCCATGAAAAAATCTTCTTACCCCAATTTTTTTTGTCGACAGGGTAACCAATAAACTCTTGTCACCATCCGTCAGATAGATTTTTTTTATTCTCCTCGAGATGCGTGTGGCCTGGAGAACCCCATGCCATGAAATACAGGCATTCAATATTCGGTAGAGACGTTTCTTATTATTTATATAAAAACTCGAAACGTTCCAACAAGCCCGTCTAGCTCAGTTGGTAGAGCGCAAGGCTCTTAACCTTGTGGTCGTGGGTTCGAGCCCCACGGTGGGCGTTTTCATTTTTCCCGAACAACCCGGAGCATTAACGGACGAGTTACAAAGGTAAACGGAGCTCTCTTCCTTTTGTCAGGAACGATATGATAAAAAAAGTAGTTTAGCACATGTTTAGAGGTATGGTTACAATTACTTTTGAAAGTGTTTTTTATCTATAAATGCATCAAAAAAATATTTTTTATTTTTTAAAAGTTATTTTTAATATCAATAATCTAAAAACATAAATTTTCAATTTTTTTTCAAAATTTTTTTTCAAAAAACCTTTTGAAATACACAAACAAACAACTTCAAAAAACTATAATAATCACACATTCAAAGCCACACCTATTTGTATGCAGATCATTTTGGTCACCAAGACTTTTCAGTTAGATCAGGCTATCTAAGCCATACAATGATTAGTTTTTTCGCAACTTCAAAAATTTCAAACTCAGCTGGGATTTTTGCTCTATTCAACTCTCTTTCGAAGTAATTAATGCTACTGAACCTTAGCGAACCATACTGCTCAACTCATGAAGCTAAAGGCTAATCATCTATGAGAGTGTCAGGTCAAGAGCTTCATATCTATCACCGGAATAAATGATCCCTTCACGATGATTTAAGCGGTGGAGCTGCCCATAACTTCACTTTCTTGTCCACGCTGGCCGTGGCCAAAACGAAGGTCTGTCCATCACCTGGAGGCCAACAGAAGTGGTTATCAATCACATGCAATTACAACCAGAAAATGCATGGGCAAAAATCATGGCCTCAAGTCTTTCTCATTACTCATTGCCTTGTTTCTCCTATATACTCCTAGAGTGAAATGCAAAGAAAACTAAAAAGATACGCATGGCACAGGGTAATTGAAAAACGAACTGAATAACCACAAAGATGTTTCGTTAAATGAGCACCTGCTGGCATAGGTTTAGGTGCCCATGCAATCCATGTGATGTCACCTGCACAGTAAACTAGCATTAGTATAATATCCACCAAGATATTACCCGTGCTTATTTACTACAGAACACGCCAAGTCTGACTCCTTGAAAAACACGAGGCAGCAGTTCCGATGAGGTGGAACATCAATAGTGAATAAAATCATTCATAATGAAATCTTTTTCATGATCATGAATTAAAGTGAACTGCAAGCAACATGTTGAGAAAAAAACAATCTTAATTAAATTAAACTCAAATGAATTAACTTGTCCGATTTCTCAAAACAAAAGTTGTTAAGAATGTAGGCTACGATTTCCAGATGAAAGCAGGACTTTTGGGCACTGGGGACAAATCTGCCACTGCATCAAGATCTCGGTCACAGTGTCCATCGGCAATTACTCGTACTAAGATAATGGATGTATTTAGGACAGCAATATGATCTTTACATTTTCAACCACTCCGCAGAGGAACATATTAAAATAAAGTCACATAAAGGGAACCAAAACCATACCATTATGGGCATTGTCAGCCGTGTCCAAAACCTTTCCAGTTTCAACACATAACCACTGCAACATCGAGCCATGTGTTGCAGCCAATATCCTTCCATCAGGGGATAAACTGAGACGATCATAATGCAAAGTTGCACCATTTGAATCATGAAGTGGAATCGGAAACACCTTTAAAGTCTTCGGATCCTCGTCAAGATGATAACGAACTTGAAGAAAATCAATAAAAAAGAACTCAGTATGATCTTCATCATATGGTTACCAACACAGAAGCCACACAAATACACACACATTGCAAAATAATTGCAATCATTCAAAGGTGAAGAGAATTAAAAACAAACAAATCTATTCCAGAACTCAAAAGCAAAATATGTCAATAACAGTCTTGCCTGTATTATAGGTTAGATACTTCACAAGAACTTTAAAGAGATATCGAAGCAGAAAGCAATTCTTGTTATTGACAAAACATAAATGTTTGAGGATCATTCATTCTGTAGATTCTGCAGACTAGAGTGCTGATTGGGGTTTATTTTAGATAAAACTGACATAACATCCAAAGATAAAGTTTGCACAGTCTGAACTGCCAGTTCACAACGCTCTTAGGTTTTCAATTATTCTCTAGAAATCATCTTTGATTTGTCTCAATTCATGACATAAAATCCAAAAATTGAGAAGGCCATACCCACCTACAGTAAGCATTGAACAGCCCTAATTTTCAACTTTTTAAGGCACTCCTACTTCAAGTACATAATGAAAGATTTTTCACTTTCACAGGACATACCATTGATGTTCCAAATTCTTATCGAACCATCTTTGGAGGCTGTGATGATTTGCTCTGAGTCTGGAGTGAAGCATAACCATGTTACTGCACTCTGAACATCAAATTAACTTGAGATGAGAAAAAAAAAAGAGCATATCCTAGATATATAAGAGTGAGAAACATGATAACAAGACCAAAAGTAGAATATAGTTCAAATAATAAGGCTAAAATAATGATAAAAGAGATCATTCCATTTATAGGAGAATTCATATCCACAACTGCAGAAAGACTGAACACATCTACTAGGATAAACTTGTATGACACCATATCACACAATAATTTAGTCATTGTTACCAATGTTTTATCACTGCTTACCAATGCGCATCCCAGTTCAGAAAATTCAACTTTATTCAAACAGGTCCAATCATAGATTTGATTTTAAATTAAACTACATAGCTATTTTTATGCTAAATAAAAATATGACACATATCCATGAAGTTCAGAAACAAAATAAAGAAAGAGGGCAAGTAGAACACGGAAAAAATTAAAAAAATAACAGCAAAGCTTTAACAAGATATAGATGAATTTGTGTTAAATTATTTTATAGATCACATACTTTATGCCCTTTAAGTTGCATGGCCTTTGGAACCTCCTTGACAGAACCATCTTTTGAATATACAATCTCCCATACCTGCCAAATAAAATTTAGAACCGACATCGCAAGTCAATTTTCAACTGCTACCAGAATGTTAAATTTAAAGCTTGCGATCGGATTCCGGGCGCCTCTTAAAATAATTTTTGTATAACAGTTGCAATTGAAGATGATAGACTCAATCCATATGTGGTGACAGATGACAATGTTGTTGTAATTCATTAGAGGCAGGATAATCTCTTGACATGACCTGATATATTGACTCATAAGCAAACTTGTGAACAAGCCTAAACTAATAAGCCTGTTAAGGTCATCAAACAAAATCTTGCAGCAATACTAACTGATGGCTTATGTTTATCATATTAGGCTCACATCTATACATATTACATACTAGCTAAATCTTTCTATGAAAAATTAAATCATTTTTGGGAAGTATTATGAGTGTCACAAATGCTGTAAGATTTTATGCCTAAGAATCTTCAACACCATATACTCTATCAGGAATCACATCATATGGTGCATTGTGTGAATAAATTTCCTGTTGTTAAGCACAAACTCAGGACATCGCTTACAGAGTCCCAAGAATATGCTTCTATCAGTAATAAAAGATGTTCACCTTCACATCTGCAGTAAAAGCTGCAGCAGCAATGAAACGCCCATTTGGGGATATAGTAGCCATGGTGTTTTTCAATTGATTTGTATCGACATTCCCCAAAACCTTTCCTGTCTTTCCATGCCAAATTTTGATATCAGTACCTGGAAAGTAAAATAAAAAAATATATATAATAAGTGTTGCTTTCTGAAACCCAAGAAAGAACAACAATTACAAAAGAAGTGTAAATCAAAGATTTTGGATTTTTCTGCTCCAAGTGCTCGGTTTGATAATTTAAAATTGCAAATTTGATGGGCAATTCTTTTAAGATTAATGGTGTTATGCAATTGGTATAATGTAATGGGAAAAAAAATAATCATAATATCATTCTCCATGTAGTGGATTGGCCACTAGAATCCACAAGCCTGTATAGACGCTAGTGATGTCTGGTCCTTGATCAATATGTTCTGATGGCAGCTAATCAGACAGAAACCTGTTTGAAAAGTGTTGGATTATATCCACGATAAAATCATGGAGATTCATTGCTGAAACCATGTGAGATGCAAGTGATGTACAATTAAGGTTGAATGAATGGATGGATGAAACTGTTTCAATTTTGAGGCAAAAGAAAAAAAAAGTTTTTTACAAATATACCAAAATCCAAAATGTCAGAAACCACTAAAGTCAATTATCTGAACATTTTGTGTTATTGCTGACAATTAAATTTTATCCAACTATTGATCCTCGTAAAAATTCTACTTCTGAGGCATGCTTCAAACTTCAAAGCCATAACTATTCTACAATACTTAGTTTGCAACCACATCCAAATCTTAGGCAACCTTTCCTAGTCTAACAAGGTTAGTAAAACGTTAGAATCCTAGCATTCATACCATTTCAATAGTGTGCCAAACCATCAACTCATTGATGCTTATTTATATGTTACTATTAGAACTCAAAAGGATTAAATATCTAAGCCAGGAAAACAAATCAGCATATACCTTCCGAACAGGAGGCCACAATCGTACTTCCATCACCACTCCCATAAGTAGAAGCGGTTCCAACCAGGGTCAAAACAGCCCGTTTCTCATGAATTTTGTGCTGTTCCCATTTGATATCAGGCAACGGAAGCTTTGGTTGCTGCTTAGAGTCATCGGTAGCTTTTACCTTTTCCTCTCCCCACATATATAAAGACGAACCAGACAGTGTTTGCGACGCTACTACCACAGATGATGCATCATCAGAAAACGCTACTGCTACCGGATGACCTCCAGCTGGCACATTAATTCTCAAAAACCTACAAATTAATTATCAGCACTAAAAAATAAAATAAAAGAGTGGTCACATAATCTGAAAAAGAAAAGCTTCGGTTTCGTACTTGAAACTTTTACTCGAAGCATCATCCAATTTAAACACCCTCACCACTCCATCTGCACAAGCTGTTTTTTTTTTTTTTTTACAAAACAATAATAATAAAATTATTAACCGAATCAGTAAGAGTGAACCAGAAATTATAATTTCATAAATATTTAACAGTTAAAACTAATAATGATAGTTGAAAGAAATTACCGGTAGCCAAACTGCGTCCATCATAAGAGAAACACAGGCCGGTAACAGAATCACCGTGACCTTTCAAAGTATTCAAATCCAATGGATGATGTTTCTTATTATGATCCTGCACATTTCGCGATCAAAACAATAAAATTCACATGGAAGAAAAAAGAATTAATTCAAATTCAAAATTATCATTTTCTTTACCTTGTCGGAGGAGGCATGCGAGTGAGGTTTGGTGTGAGGTTTTCTGGATTGGTGAGTAGGTTTAGGAGGTTTTTTATGAAGATCCGAATGAAGTCCGGGTTCGGAGATGGATCCAATCTCGGATTTTCTTTTGAGGAAGTAGTTCTTGAAGAAAATAAGAGCGATTGCAGTACCGAGAAGGAGTGAGATGAGTGCAATCGGGAGGACCTGATCCATTTTTCTGAATCTTAGTTTTGATTTTGGATATAATGATGAGAAATGGCGGGGCCTTTATACGAGTCTCCTTGCTGCGTCTTTCGCTCGAGAACTAGAAGAGAAAATGGAGTTGAAAACCAGTTTGATTCTTTGTCGAGGAAAATCTTCTGAAGTGGTCTGTACGATGCTTAGAGTCCAGGTACAAAGGATCCAGGCCCAATTATATCCAGACTTAAGCCTCATAAGGAGACTCTGGTGCGAGCCCAAACAATATGACCCGGCCCTACAAAAGGAAGCTAGGTCGGATTTTAGAAGATCCGAACAGAATACCATCCAGACAGCCAGTAGGCGTGTGCAGTCTCTTGAGCAAGTGAGATTGAACTTTCAGCAAAAATGGTAAGCATGAGGCTGTACCATATAATGAGATTGAGATTTCCTACCAATTAATTAATTTGAATGGCAAGATCTGGTGGTATAGAAGAGCTCAGAATTGAATCACCACGCCCCTTCTATAGAAGAGCTCAGAATTGAAGACAAACTCACTGAATAGGATTAAGACACTTCAAACAATGAAAAATTCAAGAAATGCAGTCTTCCCAAGAAGAAAATCAATTTGCTTCACAGTAAAATTCAAGAAATACTGTTCCTTTATCTCCTCTTTTCGCCTTACTAGTCTTGACATATGTTTGGACTTCTCTGATTCTATCATTCCCGTCTGTGGTTTATGCAAGAAATCTAGTCTTCACATTTATTCCTCTGTATCATAGAAAGGAAACAAGTCCAGAAAGAAATTATGTTTGCTAGATACAAGCCATTAAATTACGTAAAAGTTTAGGAGTGAGACAATAATAAGTGGATGTGTTCTTAGAATTAAAAATCAAAAGCAAAATAGGAATAATTCTGCACTTTTACATTCTGATGTAACATTTACAGAAACACGGCAAATACAATTAATCCATGACAGGAGTTACCACTGTTCTAGTTCAATTCCAACCCAGTTACCCAGGGTAATTTGTCCTGAATTTGAGCTAGAGAAAACCCTTTTCTTTGCAGCATTGAATGGCTCCATCAAACATTTCGTCGAGTCCATACCTAAATTTGAAACCAGAATCCAGTAGTTTCTTGGAGGATACACCAGGGATTTTAAAGCCTTCAACATCCTTTAAATATCTGCCCGAAAAGAAACATGAACACTCGGTTAATTTTCAATGTTGAAGATTAAGTGAAGAATGTTGCAGAAAGGAATAGAAATTACTCACTCTAATGTTGGTATTGAGTACTCAGGGTACTTGGCAGAAAGAAATTTAGACATCTCCTCAATTGTTATTATGTCTGAAGAACAAATATATCTCCCTTTCGCTGCAGGATATTCAAGGAGGAAAATATGTGCCCTGGCCACATCATCAATGTGCACCATAGATGTGTTGATGAGTAACTCGTACTGTTCCTGATCACCTGAGATGATGTCCGTTAGATCAACAGCTTTCAGAACATCATAAAAGAAACACTCGAATTAAACAAATGTTCTAAACAACAAAGAGCACTAACCCAGCACCATCGCCAATGATGTGTTAACTGAACCAGGCATGTTTGGACAAATGAAGGGGCCAAGAATATAGGTTGGTATTAAAGTTACAAGGTCCAATCCATGTTCTATTCCGACCGGTGATGTACTGATATTTGCTCATAGGAGGCCAAGCACACTGACACAATATTTAACGTGGTTCGGCAAAACCGCCTACATCCACGGGAGAAGCCATTGCATTATGTAGGGAGAGTACAAGATTTACAATAATAGAGGAGGAGGAATCATCCTCTCTTTGAGCAACTCTCAACCTCACTCTATTTCTCTCTTTTTGTGCTGCAATGGCAGCCCACTCTCTTCTACATTTCTCACATCTTTGACTTTTTTCTTTCTCTCTCGTCTTGCTCTCTCATATATGCCTCTATTTATAGGCATTCATGGAAGCTCTTCTTGGTTTGTTGTCAACATTGGTGGCTACCAACTCTAGCTCATTCAATAATGGTGGCTGCCAACCTTTGATATCTTGGATGAGTATACATGGTTAGTGCAATAGTTAATGATTGTTGTATATTAATGGCAACCAACCTAACACAATCCATATTCTTCTGTGAATTCAAGAGCTCTTTTCTCCGTTAAAGTTTTGGAAATAAAGTAAGGACCTATGGATAAGTTTGAAGCTCTGATATAATCAACATCGCTCGTAACTTTCATCCATCATTTCCACGCCACTGTCATTAAGAGCTATCGCTGATGCACTAGAGGTGTACACAACTCGTTTCACTGTCTTTGAATTCAAGCAAGCCTTCAAGATTCCTAATGTTCCATCAGCTGCTCCTTGGATAACTACTTCCTCGGCTTCTCCATTTCCAAAATCTCGAGGTAGAGGAGTAGCTACATGAAAGACACCAGTACATCCTTTAATAGCCACATCAAAGTCGCCGGGTTCACTTAAATCTGCATAGAAGACTTGTAGTCTCTCTGATCCTCCTGGTAGACTTGTCAGGAAGCTAACGTCCCTCTCGTGTTCTGGTCGCATATATAGAACAAAGTTAAAAAAAAAAAAAACATATTGAAAATGTTGATTGTAATTTACCCGGGTTGTGTCAAAAACATCCGGTGAATTAGGACTTTTCAAAATTCTATGGACAGTGATACAAATGCCACCCCTAAATTGTTGCTGCTGCTGTCATTGTTGTTGTGACTTCATCTCCTTTAACTGTATGTCTTATGATTTAAACTACTTATGTTAGATTTCTTTCATTTAAAAAAAATGAAAAAAACATAAATCATACGTGTAATGTGTATAAGTAGGCAGTAACTACCCCGGCAACCTTTGTAAACTACTTATGTTAGATTTCTTTCATTTTAATGGTTTGATATTACATGAAAATCTTTTGTCTTTTTTTTTTTATAAAAAAATTCTACTACGGAGTAAAAAAAAAGAGAGAGGAAGATTAGGGTTGATATTTTATTATTTTTTTAATTTTTTAATGTATCAACTATATTTTATAAAAAATATATGCAACTCAAAGATTAGGGTTCATACTCAGGGAAAGAAACGTGTCAACTCCTTATTCTTTTTTTTTTTTTAGATTAACGTGGGTGTCCGGGCCAGCTTGCGCTCACCACGACTAATCCCACGGGCCCTGAAATTAACGACCATGTAAGTCTCCAGTGGCCATCATATGAGCAACCAAGGACTCGAACCTGAGACCACAGAGAAAGCAAACCCCTTAGTTCCAAGTCTTTACCACTTGGCCACCACCTAGATAGTTGTGTCAACTCCTTATTCTTATTTTTAGAAATGGTTACCGTTTGACATTGACAGTGAAGGTACCAAACAAAAAGATTTTTCAAGCCATCACTTTGATTTTTCTTTTCTTTTTCAAGCCATCACTTTGATTTTTTATTAACAAGGTTTGGGGTGTAATAAGATTTTTTTAAAAAAAAATTATTTATAAATATTAAATTAATTAAAAATTTAATTTTATAATTTATTTTCTTTTCTTTTTAATAAAATAAATATGAACATAACATTAACTAATCTGTTGGGCGTTTTGATATTTTTTGATGAAATCTCTTTCAACTTAAAAACAAGTGGCCTTCCCTTTTTTTTCCTCTCATTTTATCCAAAATATATAAAATAAAAATTACATTATAAATATATGATAATTTTAAATTTTATATAAAAAATTTAATTTAATCCTTATATTTTAAAAATTATACATACTTGATATCTAACGACATAGATCCAATAAAAACAAATAAAAATCTAGTCACACAAACCCTAGCAAAATGTACCAAGTAAACTAGTTTGACTTGCCAGGACTAGAAGCACATGGCTTTTTCTTTTTGTATTATTTTTTTTTATTTTTTAAAATTAATATTTTTTAATATTTTTTATTATTTTTATATTTAGTTTAATATCATTCTCTCTTTTATTCTATTTGGATAGTTTTTTTTATGATTTTTTTGTTATATATTTAAGTTTCAAAGATTCATCTATTCTTTTTTTTATCTTTTGTATTGATGTATTT